GGGCTGAATGGAGATGGATGAAACCTTCAGCCCAGAGAAGACCTAAATGAATGATTACCTCAATTTGATTTTCCAAAAAAAACAAAAAAAAAAACAAAACAAAAAAAAAGAAATCACAGAATTTCTATTTCTTCTACATTTCTAAATCTATTTTCTAAATACATATTAGTGATCTTGAACAGTTCATTCATGCATTTTTCATTTAATTTTTACTTTTTTTTGAGCTTGCAGTTTTTAATTACAATATCATAACTCTGTCTTCAGGTGAAATGACAGACTTTTCTCTGGCGATGCATGTCAAACTTCTCCAATCATTTAGTCCAATCAACAAATAGATAGAAGCAAGTCCCGCCCCAAAAGTTTATTTTTTTCGAAAATCGGTTTTATTCAGATGTACGTCACAATATAGAAGAAAAGATCTGTTGGAATTAGGGATGAGCAAAACTAAACAATTTCTAAATCACAGCCCTCTACGAACACCTTGGCAATTGAATCGCCATTGGCTAGTAAATTTTTTTGTTTGCTCGCCAGACTGATATACTATTTTACACACACACACACATATATATATAAATCAGCTTATCTTTGTAAAATGGCACAGCTTAAATCGCAGATTCTTAATCAGTCAATCAAGCATTATATTATGATATTATGATAATTAAGCACTATTTAATGATAGAACATCAGTGATTAGAACTAAAAATTGGTAACATGTATGAATACATATCTGTCATTTTAATTGATCTTAGGACTGGTGGTGGTGCTTAAGATATTGTTGGTCATTCAGTGTTTCCGTAAAAAAAGATAATAGTAATAGATAATAGTAATTATTATTAACAGATAATACTACTACTATATTAACAATATAAAACTCACTAAGGATTAATGAGCTGCTGGGTTCATGAATATTAATCACGTTGTCAGCGTTCGCTGGAACTGATTTGCGCATATGCGAGTGATTTACTCGCAATGTAGAGGGTTGAAATCATTTAGTTAGTGGGTTGTCTAAATGACTAGATGACTAAGTCTCAGGCATCCTGTATAGTTAGATTGAAGGTCATTGCACAAAACTTGTATAAAAGTCTTAGTCCTCACAAAAAAGTGGAAGACCTATGGAATCAGATGCATAAATGTATCGATGAAGACAGCAAATTTGTTACAAAAGGGGTGTTTTAGCATGCTGACATTAAAGGGGTCCTATTATGCTTTTTCACTTTTTTAATTTTAGTCAGTGTGTAGTGTGTATGTTTGGGCATAAAAAAGATCTAGAAAGTTACAAATCTCAAAGTCCACTCCAAAGGGAGATATTTCGTTTTTAAAAAATCCCTTTTCAAGAACTACAACGAACGGCTCGTTTGGACTACAGCGTTTGTTTATGGGCTTTGTGATATCACAAAGCGGCTCACTGGAATATCATTACAAATAATTCCCGCCTACGGAGATTCGAATGGTTGGGGGGTGGGGAGGGGCGAGGTTGTGTTGTCAGAAGTATTTTGATGTTGGACAATTAATCGACCATCCATACCCATTATCACGATACCAGATATTGCAGGAAAACAGACCTTACCATGCTGACTGACACTTTTCCTAGTCTTAAATTTAACTTTAGTAATTTTGTTATGTGCTTTTGTCATTTAGTTTTTGTTAGGATTATAGATTTAGTTTTCAGAGCATTCAGTACCACTTCTATGCTGTTCTGGAACCTTGCTTTTGATCATAAATCCTGACAGAGAACCCATTAAACCAATTTCATATGAACTCTATGAACTCATAAGGTCCCTGGCACCATCCTGAGATACTGGGCTGAGACTGATGACATGGTACAGCAGTGGATTGATTCACAACATCGATGATGACCACTGTGACAACCATGTAAAGTAACTGCAACAACAACGCATGATCGATCATGCCCTACCGGTGCCTGATATTGCTGAGTAAGCATGCTGGTAAAACAGGCTGTGTATTTATGTGTGTGTTTTTGGGTTTGTTCACAGAACTAGACTCAACGCACCTACTCATATAGCTGTTGACAACTGAAATGAATGAATAAGAGAAAATGAGAGAGACACTGGTTTGGTCCAGCTGTCTCATATCCTGACATGTACTGTGTCCTGGAAAGGCCTTTTCGATGGGCTCAATAGACAGGCCATGCTTGCATTTTCTTTTTTTTTGGTGGCAGGTAACAAAAGGCAAAGGCAAAATAGCAGCAAACAGCACTTTTACACAGCCATTGCTTTTCATTTGCACACAAACACACAACAGAGGGGAGAGGTGGCCCGCTGTATGACAACAGATAATATACTAAACTGACTTTTAAAAACAAAATGTTGACTGGAATGGAAATTTCTGACCTCTACTGAGACTCCCTACATACTCTTTTCACTTACCTCCAGGAGAAAAACCTACTTGTACTGCTATTGCCCAAGTGTTGCTTAACCATCTAACACAGGTCAAGGCAGTGAGGGGCCCAGCTCTAAAAACACACAAACACTGATACAGCTCTGGAAAACTCATAGTAGGGAAGTGTGACCAAACTACGCAATGTGGCGGAGCTCCACATTCAACACACCGCTGGGTTAACTAACAACATGACACAACAACAGAACTTTAAAGTCTAAAACAAATTGTGGGCATTTAAAGGCATAGGTCACCCCAAAATAGTGCTGGGCGGTATACCGGTTCATACCGAATACCGGTGTTTATTTTTGTTATGATATGAATTTTTAAAATACCGCAATACCGCGTATGTCGCTTAAACAACGTTCGGAACACGACACTGTTTGAAAGGGGTCCCTTTTCACTGTTGCACTGTGGTGAATAAACAGCTGTATGTGTTACTAAGCATGAAAGTTCCGAAACTGAAATTGTAGAACTAATAGAACGTGATGACACAGAAGAACTCATCCACAATATCCACATTGACCGCCACAAATATCCACTGCCCCCTGCCATCAGCTCCCGCGTCTCACACACACACACACGAGCGCAACTTTAGCACTAGATTTAGCAACTTTCAGACCCTTTTAGCGGCTTTTTTCCATAGAATATTCATACTGACAAACCTAGCGACTTTTTTGGATAAACCTTAGCTATGGTTCAGTTGGAAGATTTCGCCAGTGCTGTCCTGCGAACGCGAGGTCTGACTTTCCCGGAGAAGTGTCACCTCTCTCGGCGTCTGTTCTGTGCAGTGAGCGGCAGAGAAGCAG